GGTCCTTCACTGCTGGCCGTATGAGGAAGCTCAAGGTCGCTCAGCGAGCTATGGAGAGGGCTATGCTCGGAGTTTTTCTGCGTGATAAACTTAGGAATGAGGATATCCGCAGTAGAACCAGAGTAACTGATATAGCCCAACGGATTAGTAAGCTGAAGTGGCAGTGGGCCGGCCATATAGCTCGAAGAACCGACAACCGATGGGGAAGAAAGGTTCTCGAGTGGCAGCCTCGTACCGGTAGGCGAAGTGTAGGGAGTCCCCCCACGAGATGGAGTGACGACCTGGTAAGACATGCAGGAAGTCGATGGATGCAGGTGGCTCAGGACCGTGCTTTGTGGCATTCTTTGGGGAAGGCCTATGTTCAGCAGTGGACTTGTAAAGGGCTGTAATGATGATGATGATGAATATAAATAAAATGAGAACATCATCAATGCAGCCGAAGTCAATTAAATACGCATTATTAAAGATAACTCAAAAACTATTGGTCAGATCTCGATAGAATTTAAATGGCACCAAAAAGGAATCATTAAAATCGGTTCACATAGGAAAAATTTCTGAGGTAACACACATAAAAAATACAGTCGAATTGAGAATCTCCTTCTTTTTTGAAGTCGGTTAAAATCCTCTGTACAATGGGAGAGACTTTTTACTAGGTGGTAGGACTTCTTTTTCACCTAGGCTATCTGGTTTGGTACCACCCTCACCTATTTATGCTGGCCATAGATATAATAAAAGAAGGAGATATGCCCGGTAGCTGAAAATGTATCGAAACCCGGTGTCGTCATTTGGTCCCTACCAACCACCTACTACTACACTTACAGATCAGTAAAAGCAATAGAGACGCAGTCGCGCACACACCCGCATTTTTTAAATCAGAACGTACTACACAATCAATTATAAACCGTATCCCTACAAACACAGCGTGCATTAACCATGCACTGTACTAATTACTCACACAAAAATATCAGTCGCTATCGTTGTGCTGTGCAAAAGTCATTTATTTTACATATACATTAGTTGTTTACGCCCGAACGGTGGTTTCCGAATCGACGTCAGAGGGAGCGCAGCTCGGTGCCATACCGGTTTTGACGTCGGTCGAGCGGTGGGTGTTGAGAACGTGTAAAGGTGCAAACGAGTCGTCCGCCAGCTGTGCTAACGTCAGCACGCTGTCAATTTTTGTTCGGGAACTCGGAATAATTAGGCGCGGCTAGTAAATATACTGCCTAGGATTTGTAACGCGCATTCCTTGCTGGAGAGCTTCCCCGGGACTCATTGTGTCTGACTCAGAATCTGTATAAGTGCATTCGACAATATTAGCTAATGCGGCCTTTGATATTCTAGAAATAAATGTTGCTACGCGAAACGGTAGTGACCTTTGATCCGGACACTCCCTGTTCGTTTTGTGTGTTAAGCTTTATAACAACGAGAGTTAGTGGCTTCTGTAAGTTAGTTAATATTACGATAGAGTTAATGGACTGTCATCGTGACGAACGAAGAAAGTGACTGTGGACGGCGCCGCGGAAGATTACCTCAATTTGGAGCGGTGCTAATGTCCGGGCTGCTGCCGACGGCAAAGGTCTAATAAGGTCAATCACCACCAGTCACACCCAGATACACATCACAGCACCTTATTTCCCTGGCACCACACAACCACATGCGACCTGACCGAATCCTGAGGGACCAGTCGCCTTGGATATAGGTAAGTAAGCGCCGTCTAATATTCTACCCGTTGAATGGTAGTAGTATAGAACGCTCCCCCATATAGTTTATTGTAACTAGAGAAATTCCACTTTGGCCTTAGGAGGCCCGACCTGCACCTGCTTGTAAGGTCTTCCTTCATGGGCCGGGAAGATCCTACTATTAGATAGGCAGCTGTAGGCCGTAACATTAGTGATTGACTAAATTGGAATGTTATAGATTCTCTTCCATTTCTACTAAAATTGCACTAAAATTGAAAATAAAATAATTAAAAGAATGCATGAGTATCGTGGAACACTCGGTTGGAACGAAGTTCCTTGCGTAGTATATTATTATTAATAAACGTAGGTATTATATTATTGATTAACAAATATAAGTTATTGGAAATAAAATAATATTTCTTTCATGGCAAGACACAAAAAAGTGCGAGGGAGATGGATATTATTCTATCTCACTTCCTTATTTCGCCGCCAAGGCCGTCTACACTATAACACAAGGGGTAGTGACGAAAAAATCTTACACTTTTTGTCGCCTAGCTCCCATCCGCCAAATCCGTACCATCCGATAAAGAACTTCGTTCCAAAAACGATATGCACAGTAAATATTATGTCTTTTTTTTATATTTCTATGATGGCGGCAAACAGAAATGAATTTTACTGTTGTGCTCCGGTCTTAGAGAATTGAGAGGCAGTACAATTACAGGCTCGGAGATATTCCATCTTAGTGCTCAGCGATGACAACGCATCTGTAGTCTTATTTGTATAAAGTTGGCTGCAGTTATCCATGGACTGCAGTGGCCACTTACCAACAGTTACTGTTGGATTGTTAGATCACTCGTCACGTTAATTTTATAATAATTAAAAATTAAAAATGTTGTACTCGTACAACCGAATTCAATATAAATTAGTAAGAGTAACTCAAAAACTATTGGTCGCACCTTGATCAAATTTAGGTATATGGGACCACATGTAAAGAACCGGCTTTCAAATAAACAAAGAATTATTGAAATCGGTTCACTCAGTAGAAAGTTATGAGGTAACACACATAAAATAACATACAGTCGAATTCAGTACCGTCTCCTTTTCGAAGTCGGTAGAAAAGAGACCCGTGTTGATAAATTATATAAATTCCATATGTTAAAACTTATTTTTTTTTAATAGTATAGGGTGACAAACGAACACACAGTCCACCTGATGGTAAGTGGTTGCTGTGACCCATAAACATCCACATTTATCCTCAATAAAGAATCAAAATGCAGATGCGTCGTCACCCGTGAGGACTATTATGGAATGCCTCTTTTCCAGTAAAATGGGTCTCCGGTTATCTACACTCACCATACGAAACACAGCAGTGTCAAGCTGCCATTTTACGCTGGTATTCTGTGAAAGTGTGGTCCTTCCCCGTCGAGCCGACCCATCGTGCTACAACAATACTACTAATATAGCCGCAGCATGGCTCTACCACGACAAAGTGACTATGATCAAATGAATACAAAGCATAGGAAATGAATGCGCATTTTAATATGGAAGTTCTCATTTAGAACTCTCAACTTTAATCGATCAGATTGGGAATTATTTCATCAATTTCAGTTTTTTTAATTTCTACTTTTAAATTTTTACTTTTGAATTAATTTTTTTATTAAAAATGGGCTCACTCTTTACCTCCATCTGGCCAGACGGCAAAGATGAGGTCTACGATGGAGCTAGTTTACCCAGGAGAAGCCTGTTAACACGCACTTTGAAGAGGTTCAGGTTATCTATACGCACTCGGAAAAACAAAATGCCATCAAAAACATAACTTGTAAAAAAAACCAAGTCTCGCAACTCAGTTCTTCTAACGTAAAAAGTTCTGAGATCCATGTAATACCAACAATACCAAGCCGGTTAATTTGTTTTTTTATAGAATTAGGGTGACAAACGAGCACACAGTTCACCTGATGGTAAGTGGTAGCTGTGGCCCGTAGACATCTACATCTTATCCTCGATTACAAATCAAAATGCAGATGCGTTGTCACCCGTGAGGACTAAGATAGAATGCCTCGTTTCCAGTAAAATAGAGTCTCCGGTTCTCTACACTCACCATACGAAACACAGCAGCGTTATGCTGCTATGTGCGTTATTCTGTGAGAGCGTGGTCTTTTCCCGGTCGAGCCGACCCATTCGTGCTACAACTATACCAGTAATATAGCTGTACCATGGCTCTACCACGTATTAATTTTTATAAAAGTTATTCAGTCCCTACTTAAGGATCCTTCTGTCTGTACCTAACCTAACAACATCTGGCATGTCAATATTAAAAATCTTTTATGTTTTAAATAAATAGATTGACTTGGCCATCGCATGAAAACACAATGTATATCACAAATAATATTCATTATATTAGATTATATTGTGTAATTATCAGTCAGATTGATAATTTTAGGCTTCTAGTTTTATCCACAACGAAGTTATAGGGGGTCGAAAATGGCCTGAACTGCTTCGAGAAAAAGACAGTAGATACGGCCGTGCCGCTTATTAGCTCGGCTTGGCGGTGGCACTGCCGTGCCTCCAGATCTGATGTTAAAATATCTGTTCTCCGTTCTCGTTTAAATAAACATTAAAAAAATAAATAGAAACCGTGTAGCGGTGGTGTAAGAATATTCACTACTTCTTATCATCCTGTAACTAAGTATCGTAAGACGCGACAGATTGAGATTATAAGAGAAGATGGTCAGCAGCATCTTTCTTATAAGATCTCAAAATATTAAAAAAACAGCGCATGCCAAGCCAGCTCCAAAGCGTGGCTACTATGAAAAAAGCATCGCTATGAGGCAATCTATGGAGAGGCCTATGTTCAGCAGTGGACTTTTATAGGCTCTGATGGATGGATGTACAGAAGATAATCTACAAGGAGCACATGACACACTCAAAGGTGAAATTATTAAATCAACGGTTACATTAAAACTATGGCAAATATCCTATGAGGCAATATATGGGGAGGCCTATGTTCAGCAGTGGACTTTTATAGGCTGTAATGGATGGATGATTTTAAAATATCTATATACAAATCTATCTGTCTGCCTGTTCCAATTTTAACTACAATCGTTGTTCCGCCGTAAACGTTCCGACCTTTTCGGCTTGACACATAATTTTAATATAAAAATATATTTTATTTAATATATATCAATATGTGAAATTAAATCCCAAATCGGGAGAGGCCCATGATCAGGAAATGGACCGCACTTTTACGGGCTGATAAAGATTGGAAATGAATATTTATAACCAAATAAAATAATTGTACTCCTTTTAATCAAAAATACTTACGATTTCTCCCAGTAATATCCGTCACGGTTGGCATAAAAACACTATATCACGTATATTATTTAATATAAAAACAAAAACACAGCTAGAAAAAGAGTTACTCGCTAACTAATGTCGACCGATCAAAGTCTGAAGTACGACTGAGGAAAATAGAAAAAAAATATTTAAATCTCGAACGAGGGTTGCGAAATCGCGATGCTGATTGGTCAAGGGACTTGTTAACTGTCGTCCAATGATAGAGCTTTTAGGGCGTGGTGTACTTGCTCTTTGTGTTGGTAGGTGGTGTTTATTTAGTGGGAGCTTTTACCAAATGTGATTTGGTCGTTGTCTATAATTATATTTCATCTAGATATACCTTGTCGTTTTTTGCGTAGAAAACTGTCTAAAATGCTTGTATTTGCTGATGTACGTTGTTGAATAAATTACAAGCAAATTAATAATATATTTAAACGATTTATGTATTGGATAACAATAAAAAATAAATAATTTCACTTTTTGTCACATTTGATAAACAAATTTACATAACCAAGTACTTAATTTCAATTAAATTTAAGTAGGCTACGGGTGCGTTGCATAAAGATGAAAAGCGTCAAGGCTTTCGCATTTTAATTCTTAGTTAAGGATAGGGTAGAAGTCTATGTAATTATTTTTTTATACGATAAGGGTGACAAACGAGCACACAGTCTACCTGATGGTAAGTAGTTACTGTGGCCTATAGACATCTACATCTATTCTCTACTATCAATCAAAATGCAGAAGCATTGTCACCCCGGAGGACTAAGATGGAATACCTCGTTTCCTGTAAAAGAGGTCCCCGGTTCTATACACTCACCAAACGGAACACAGCAGAATTAAGCTGCTATTTGACGCTGGTATTCTGTGAGAGCGTGGTCCTTCCCCGGTCGAGTCGACCCATTCGTAATACAACTATATGTACCACTAATACCTATAGCTGCGGCATGGCTCTACCACGTTATTAGAGATGTTATGTTACAATTTCCCGCTGTCGCCTCTAATAATACCTACGGAATGATATGGGGTAGTAGATATTCATACACCGCCGCTACTCAAAATTGTAGTAATGATCTGAGTCAACCACTTCCCTATTTTTCATTGTGGGTCAACTCTCCCACGTCTTCTTTAATGTGGTTGAGCCATGCTGCACCTATAATATGGTTGTAGCACGAATGGGTCGGCTCGACCGGGAAAGGACCACGCTCTCACAGAATACCAGCGTAAAATAGCAGCTTAATGCTGCTATTTTTCGTATGGTGAGTGTAGAGAATCAGAGACTCTTATCACTTGTCCATTGCACAGAAATTGACTGTTACGAGCTAATAAAGAAGTGGAAATAAATAAACTATAGAAGCCTAATGGTTTATATAAGTAAGGTTGTTACCACACCAATCGATTGATCGCCTATCGAAAGCATCGATCGATGGTAGAATAGATTAGTCTATGTCGATCGAGGTGCTTGATTATTCGAGAACCCGCCCAGCTCCACCGACCGCTATTTAAAATATCGTCTAGATGAAATAAACGATCTCTGGCCTTAAAAAACGGTCGCATCCAGAGTCTTCAGCGTTTGCGTCTCCTTAATAATAATACGAGCAAGAGCATCCTGGTCAACAATAACGCGTCCTCTCCTGAATACATTTTGAGAGATACTGATGATGACTGATGATGAGCCCGCCACGACATCGATTAATTGTCGATCGATGGTTGAGCAATGTTTTATTGATCAGTATCCGTCGTATATATTGTTTTTAACAAATACAAGTAAATGAATTACCAGCCTCTTTTAAAATGAAGCGTCATTTAGAAGAAAATAATATTTCTTTCATGGCATGATAAGAAAAAGTGCGAGAGAGATGGATATTATTCCATCTCGCTTCAACTCAAAAACTACTGGTCACGGTCAGACCGTGATCAAATTTATATGGTGCCACATGACAAGCACCCGCTTTTAAATAAAAAGAGAGTCATCGAAATCGGTTCAGCTATATAATAGTTGTGAGGTAACACATAAAAAAACATTCAGTCGAAATGTACCTCCTACTTTTTGAAGTCGGTTAAAAAGGAATTCTACCGTCTAGTGGCTTATTAAAAAAGTAATAAAATATAGTAAGTATGTATAGAATTTAGGACAGGCTTATGCCGTAAATTAGCAGAGATTGAAATGCATAATTGTATCAAGAAATTTAATTTAAGTTCCTAAAAAAGAAGATGACAGTAAAGTAGATATGAATTTTTTGCGTGGTAGAGCCATGCTGCAGCTATATTAGTAGTATAGTTGTAGCACAAATGGGTCGGTTCAACCGGGGAAGGACCACGCTCTCACAGAATACCAGCGTAAAATAGCAGCTTAACGCTGCTGTGTTTCGTATGATGAGTGTAGAGAACCGGAGACCCTTTTTACTGGAAATGAGGAATTCCACCTTAGTCCTCTCGGGTGACAACGCATCTGCATTTTGATTCGTAATTGAGGATAGATGTAGCTATCTATGAGCCGCAGCAACCACTTACCATCAGGTGCACTGTGTGCTTGTTTGTCACCCTATTTTTTATATAGAATAGGGGGCAAACGAGCATGCGGCTCACCTGATAGTAAGTGACTACCGCCGCCCATGAACAACCGCAACACCAGGGGAATCGCAGATGCGTTGCCGGCCTTTTAGAAAGGTGTAAGCTCTTTTCTTGAAGGTTCCTAAGTCTTATCGGTCCGGAAAATTCGCTGGTGGTAATTGATTCCACAAGGAAGTTGTGCGAGGGAGAAAACTTCTTCTAAATCGCACAGTGGTGGACCGCCAATCATCCAGATGGTATGGATGGTAACGCGAGTTTTGTCGCGATGTGCGATGGTTATCCCATAAATGAATAGCCGGCCTTCCTACATCGGTCTTTTTCAATATGTTTCTCTCTTTGTTTTCTTATTTCTAAATTGTTACAAAACCTAGTTTTATTAGTCGACTTCATAAAGGAGGAGGTACTTAATTCGACTATATGTTTTTTCTTTATATGTGTTATTTCAAAACTTTTTTCTAAGTGAATCGATTTTGATGATTCTTTTTTTTATGCTTGATTCTTTTTTGTCCTTTTTATATGGTTCCATATAAATTTGATCAACGTCTGATTAGTAATTTTTGAGTTATGCTTAATAATTTATATTGAAGTCGGATGTACAAAATTTTTAATTTTACGACTTGTAAACTACCCAAATAATTTTGATGAAATTTTTTGTGAGTGTTTGAAAGGGTCTCTAGATGGTTTTGATTCACATTTGGAACTGATAGGTGGCGCTGTTTTTAATATACCCAAATCGCCGGTGAGAAGCCGGAGCGGATCGCAAATGTTCAATACCTCTCTCTCTTTGTTTTATTATTTCTAAATTGTTACAAAACTTCGTTTTTTTATAGTATAACGATGACAAATGAGCGAACAGCATTGATGAGTTTCATATTCCATGCTCACGGCACGTGAACACCTGTTCTTACTAATGGTCAATAGTAGTTGTTTTTTCTACCGACTTCAAAAAGGAGACAATTCGACTGTATGTTTTTTTTATGTGTGTTACCTCATAACTTTTTATTGGGTGAAACGATTTCTATGATTCTTTTTTTTAACGCTGAGGCTTCACTTGTGGTCCCCATAATTTTGATCAAGGTCTAATCAAAAGTTTTTGAGTTATTCTTAATAATTTGAATTGAAGTCGGTTGTACAAAATTTTTAATTTTAAATTATATATTCTAATTTTATTGTTATATAATTTTAAAAGAAAGAATTTTAAGAATCCGGAGTTTTAATTGGCCCCTTTACTGTCCAGGCGTCGATCTGGGTAAATACCACCTTCTAACCTACTGCTGCCAAATACCAGCGCTTGTGTTCCGGTCTCAAGGATTTTTTAATAATTTAAAAATCTTTATTCCCTCATAAAGTGTACAATTAGCTGGCTTAATGTCTTTAGGCATTCTCTACCAGTCAACCACGACCTAAGCAGAGAAGCTTAAGCAGGTGCCATAAAACATGAAATTAGTGACGTGAATACGTAAATATGTATGTACAGATGTAAAAGAATACATACCTACCATACGTGTAAATACACTTTTAAATTTATTAGCTGAACCCGGCAGGTGTTGTCCTGCCAGTCAACATCATATGTTGTGTTCAGCGACGTTTTATTTTTTATTTTAGCGCACGCAATTTAATATATTAATTGCCGCGCTGGATTGAAAAAAAAAACAAATAAAATCAAAAAAATTAAATTTTCTTTGTTTCTAAAATTTTAGTAAATTTTTTTTAGTTTATAAATATAAACCTTAATTGAAAAATACATATAAATACCAATTTTCGTGATCGATCAAATAGATGTTAAATTAAACGATTTCGTATATACAAACATCATCTTTTAAGTATGTATAGAAATATATTTTTTTATAGAATAAAGGTGACAAACGAGCACACAGTCCACCTGATGTTAAGTGGTTGCTGTGGCCCATAGACATCTATTTTTATCTTCGTTTGCAGATTAAAATGCACATGCGTTGTCACCCGTGAGCACTAAGATGGAATGCTTCGTTACTAGTAAAAAGGGTCTCCGGTTCTCTACACTCACCATACATCGCTCGTCCTCTGTGAGAGAGTGGTCGTGTCATTCGTGCTACAACTATACTACTAATACAGCTGCAGCATGGCTCTACCACGTATAAAGCTATAGCTACAAATAATCTAAATAATATATTCTATATATAATAGGCTCTGTAGTTAACAAATTAATATTCTAACAGTAAACACTCAATAAATACTAGCATAATTTGTTTCTTAACGACCTAATTAATAATCACCCAAGTTGCTTCAATTCAGAGAAATATTTTAGTTGAGATATTATGTGAATACAAGTAAATGTTTGAAACAAATAATTGAACTTCGCCCCCGTTCCTGTTTACATACTGATAAAGCTAATTATTATCGTTATAAACGAGACGCATTGGTGTAACCGTGGTAATAAGTGGATAACGCATTAAATTAAACGAAAGGAAA